GTAAAATCACTCTACTGAAAGATGCAGGTGCGAGGCGATGAATGGCTTTGAAAGATAATAATAATAATGGTAATAATAATAATAATAACAGTAAAATTTTTATGAGCGCATTTAGAAGTCTCAAGGCACTTACATGTCATTTATAAAAAAATAATTAAAATGATTACGATAATAAAAGTCCTGTATAAATAAAAACCTGTATCAGTAATATTTCTGGTAACAAAAATAAAAAGATCTATATAAAATAAATTGAAATAACTAAAAAATGTAATCAAAAACAAAATTTCCTAAATAGGAATGTTTTCAGGGCAGATTTAAAGGACAAAAGAGAGTTTGCATTTTAAAGAGAACCGGGAAGAGTATTCCATAATGCAGATGCACAGAAGGAAAACTCACGTTCACCGTATGAGTGGGGACAGTAAAAAGTGATTTGGAGGATGGACGAAGACTTCGTGGTGGATGGTATTCTTGTGACAGGGACGACAACTACAACGAAAAAAAGGTCGTAAAGAATCTTAAAAGTAATAAAAATAACTTTGAATATTAAACGTGATTCAACTGGCAGCCACTGTAGTTCTCGAAGAGCAGGATTGATGTGTTCATATTGTTTAGTTCCAGTTATAAGACGGGCTGCAGTGTTTTGAATTCTTTGAAGTCTGTTCAGTTCCTGTTTTGCAAGACTATAAAGGATACTCTTACGGTAGTTCAAACGTGATATAACAAAAGCATTGAGGTTTCCGTTAGTGACGTATTTGCGAATGCGCCCTATGGACCTGATGGCATTGGTTTCTTTTCTGTATGTCTCGTTTATGTGTTATGTCATTCTTAGGTTTTTGTCCAAAATAACTCCAAGATCACGAACTCTCTCAGTTAGATCAATGACGGTACTGCTAAAAAAGAGCTTCTCAATGTTAGACGTCTTGGTAAATCGGGATGTGAACGATAACCCCCGTCTTTTCAGCATCACTTCTTTGCATATTTTGCGTGGTCCATCGCATTACATAATCCATACAGATTTGGAAGGCAGTCAGGGAAGGAGCCTGATTTGCAGGATCGATAGCTATAAACAGTTGAGTCTCGTGTGCATAAACATGCAGTGTGAAGAGTAGCGGTCCAAGCATAGACCTTTGTGGGACACCATAACACAGAGCGCGAGGAGTGGACACTTCATCTCCAATAATTATTGATTGCCGTTGGTTTTCAAGGTAGGATATGAACCAGTTCAGTGTCAGTTTTGAGAAAGCAAAGTAGGACTCGATTCTTTCTACCAGAAGAATCATATGGCCAGTAGTGTCAAAGGCCGCTGCTGAATCAAGGAGTACTAATACGACATCGTGGCGGGCGGTCAATCGTTCTCAAAATGTCGTTTATCACACGGAGCAAGATCGTATCCGTAGAGTGATGTTTCCTATACGTAGACTGCATAGTGGGCATCAAATTGTACGTTTCAAGATAGTTGTACGTTTGTATGCAGCGCATTTGTACTGGTAGCCAGTGTTACAGAAGTAAATGCGCCCTTTCCATGAATAATCTTTTAGCTTCTAGAAATTGTGATTTTACGTAAATATGTAAACTGATAAGATTAACCATCTTTTATTTAACTAGTTTTTATTACGATGGAAGACGGACTGCTGATGTTTTGATACATTAACAGTTATCTCTTTTGGAATCAGCTGAATCAGCTTTAATGCTCGGGCATCTTGTCCTCAACTTTGACATTGGTTTTCCTTTATAATTGATTTCTATATTTAGTGTTAATTGAACGTTAGTGAGTAAAACCTATTTAAGCAGTAAAAAACGTTTTCCGTGCTTGCATAGCCTGATATCAACACGAGAGGGGTTGGGAGAATGCGAAACAGTTATGCAAACCCGGGACGAAGTCGAGGGTTTGCATAACTGTCGAGAATTTTCCCAACACCTCGAAACAAAACGCAAAACTCTTTGTATGGCACTGATTAAAAGAGAAATTCTTACCATTCGCAAAGTCTTGTCCACGAAGTCTTGCACGAGTAATCAGTTCTTGTTTTGCAAAAAGACGCTTTCCAAATACGGACTTTTCTCGCTTAAAATGTCAGCTTAAGCGAAAAATATTGACACGCTTTCTTTTTAACGATTTTCCAAGTTTCAACCGACGAAGGAATGGGTAAATAAAGTAAACTTGTCGAGTTTTGAACTCGAACACCTTTTCAAATTCGTGCTAGCCTGATTAGCGCGCGAAAGCAAAACATCTTGACGCCACAACCATGTTTACATACTCTCATGCAAACACTCCTCTCGGCCGATCAGAGCGCGCGTACTATTTTAGTTATTTTATAAAATGAGATAAGTTAAAAGGGATAGACTATAAAAAGAGCAAAATCTGTGATTAATCAGATGAAGAAGAACACGAATAATGAGAACTAAAGGATAAAAAGCAGACAAGGAACTGAGAGAGATAAGAGAAGAAAAGTGAAGGGACAGAGAAACTGTCAGACAATAAGAAACTCAGTTAAGGAAACTGTAAGTCTATTACTTGAAAATAAATCCTATTTTCCTTCTGAGAACGACTCCATCACCACGTCCTGGTCAAGCAAAACTTCTATAGCTTATCATTTGTGGAAAGTTCGTTTACACAAGTGTAATTCGTTAACTATTGGAGTGATGTAAGAGTACTTCGTGGCGTCCAAGGCTAATCTGGCCGCAGCATTTTACACGCGTTACAACTTAGCTATTTTTCTTTAGGAAGGCTAGGCCACTTCGGAAAATACCACAATATTCACAAATTGTACTCTAGGGAATGCTGTGGTATTTCACGCAATGGCCTATTGAAGTAATCTAACCTGCAAGTGATGAAAGCAGGTACGAGAGTAGGACGTTCCCTTTCCGTTTCCTTTCCTAAATAATTTAGTTTTCCTCTGCTTTTCTCAAATGTTTGATTCTAGAGACCTTACGATTCTAAGACGAGGACCACTACGGGGACGAGATTTTCTCAATACCAAGAACTGCGTGCGCGTGAGCCAGAGTCATTTTGGTAGGAAAACGCGATAGCGGTCGTCACTCTACTGGGCAAAGTCAACAGTTCGACCTACTCCTCCAGTCTTCAGTCTGCAGAACATATAGCCATGAGCGCGACTAATCTGAAGGTATTTTTCTTTTTTCTAAAAAAAAATAAAAATCTATTAGCCTTTAAAAGGCCATAAAATACCAAATCCCTTATGCAGTCTATGCATTACTGCGCTTTTCAAAAAAAACGCGAACGCTCAAGTTTAAAAGCCAACTGACGTTTGCCTTTTTCGCTGTTGTCAATCATTTTAGCAGACCTATTAGGAAACAGAACTTTACTTAAACAGGTTCAAAAGGTCATGGTTTGTGATCTTTGATTGGTGGATTTCGACCCGTTTTGTGTGTTTCTGTGTTCAAGGTTCGTTGCTTGTGATCATAGTTATGATTGACGGCAGCGAAAATTGCAATTGTGAAGGCATCTTTTGAACTTTAGAGTTTACGTGTTTATGAAAAGCGCAGTAAGAAAAAAATATATACACAATGATGAAACGATTGACCGTAGGTCCCTTTCCAAAACCATAGTATCACTTGATAGTATGAGGGCCAGAACTGGGCCAACCCACAATGGTTTTTCGCTTTGTGGACGGGTTGGAGGTGTAGCTTTTGGTTACTTTACTTGTGTTCCTACACGTAATTGGAAGGACTAAGACACATAGAAACGACCAAACAAATGAGTTGCTGTTTGATGGGCAATTTTCATGGGACATAAGAGCTTAAATCCTATGTTAAGAAGCACTTACTTGCACTTTTATAGTGAGGCCAGTCTTGGAAAACAGCAGCATCACTAAGAATATGAGCCGTTAGGGAAGCTGCCACTAAACTGGCAAATTCTCTCCAGGCGGTTTTGTCAGATGTGTTGTCACCTGCATATTCGGAGACACCTTTAATGATGATCCATTCGACGTCCCGTTTATGAGCTGCTGCATATAAACCTGGGAAGATTAATTGTTTGTGACATAAATATACAATGGAATACCGTCACGAGCCATAAGAATTTACGGTATTTACGGGGTGGATGTACCAGTGGGGGGTTCATATTCCATGGATCCCGTTAGCACGTAATGAAAATTTCATCGCGAAGTATATAATGTAGGGAACGTTTCTCGTTTCACTCGCTACATTTCGACCGCATACGGCATACTGGTTTCCATCCGCTGTGTGAATGTGTGACTATAAGTAGCAATGTCGTTGCTAGTGATTGGTACATTACTGATGTCACTTCTGATTGGTGAGGTTTGATCAATGAACGGTCCGCCGTAAAGGTGAGGTAAGGTAATCTTTATTTACGCATGGTAAAATTGATTGAATCTTAATTCGGACAGAAATGAATTACAGTAACTCCGTTATAAGCGTATGTAAAATGCATATCATCGGTATACACTCTAAGATAAGAGTTGCATGAGCGGTTTGGAAAGTTATTTATTGATAAAAACAACAGAGGACTCAGTATTGTCCCTTGGGGGGTAACAAATTGGACGGGGCAGGATTTGGAAAGTGAACCACTAAAAGAACATATTTGCGTTTAATTCTCTAAATATGAGTTAAACCAATTGGATAAAATAGAACGGGAACAGACTCATTTCCGGAACAACGGCTGGTAGTCCAGCTTTTAAAGAAATTACAAATACTTTGACATTTAGGTGACATTTAGTAACGTTCGGAATAAAGTTACTGCCTGAATACCGCGTGGAGCTTGAAAAGTCGGGTTCCGTAGAGATTGAGAGTCACCAATGGTTGACTTGATACAAGATGACAAGAAATTAGTAAGCAAGTAACCAATTAAGGCTATGCAAATCCGTTGTGAAGCACACTTTAATTAGTTAACACGACCGATAGGGTGAAATGAGATAAACGGCATCCGCATGTACGATTGTTATCAGCTAAATATTGCGTTCATTTTGACGCTCACTATCATCACCCCAGCTAACAAAAATCGACAAAAATGTAACACTCTTACCTTCCCCTTCCATTTCGACAGCAAGAGCCTCTGGAAATCGGCTTCGAAGTACAATACACTGCTTATTGTCTTCAATCACCTCTGGTCCGCTTAGAAACGCCCCGCAATATATTTTCACCTCCTCCTGCTTTTTGGGATTTTTCAAAGGCGCACTCCAGCCATCTCCAGCATATTGGATCAACCCCAAAAGACGGGATTTCAAGGGAACTTTCACACCAGTCTCTTTGATTCCATCCCTTGTAACTTTGGAAGGGGAATATGTTATCAATTTCTCTGATACTACCACGTCTCCAGGCTTGACTTTGGTGGAATCTAAGCCACCACAGAAACCCACAGAGAACACAGCTTTGGGCCCTAAGACTTCGATAGCGTCCATTGCAGAAACTGAAGAACCTCCCGGCATGATGGATCCCCTGTGACATTTCATGACAGCAATTTTCAGTTTCGATCGATCTTCTCCCGTATCTCCCAGATACACAAGGCCAAGGTCATCGCCTCCGTAGAATTTTCTGAAAGAGGGGTTTAGAAATGAAAGACAGCCAAGAAATTCGCAATCATCCACCGTCAGTAACAGAATGTCGATTGGAATTTGGTCCTCATCTAAAGGTTCCGACTTTCCGGGAAGATTCTGATTCTTCAGCAAAGTAACAGAAACCTCGGGTGGGCCACTTGCACAGGCTTTGATAAAAAAAAAAGTATTCTAATTAGTTGCAAAGGATTGAGTTATTGTGAACATAGAACATATAGTGAACACCAGAAATATTTCTAGCTGAGAATGTGTGATTGAAGGAAAATGCCAACCAGGCGTGAGAAAACTAAACTACAAGCAACAACGGCAATTTGCTTGAGGCTTTTTTGGCTTGCTTGCGTGTCCTGTTGTGGTTGGTCACCACCCTAAAAAAATCCCTGAAATATTTCAGTTGTTGCCCGTTTTTTGAGTTTGACAATAGACGAATGCGTAAATAAATAAAAGCAACTAATTGAGAAAAGTATAAATACGTATTTAATTGACAGATACCGCGAAGCTTTGAGCAGCCATCCCGTCTTAAGCGGACACGAGGGACACTTCCCCCCTCCTTTTCAAAGTAAAACAAACGTACGTATTTGTTTTAAGTTAACGCGACTTTTAAGAGAACAAGAGCCTTTTGTTTCGAGTCTTCTATTCCGATGGGTGGAGTTCTTAGGATGAGCAAAATAAACTCTCGCAACTTTTAAGGGACCAAGTTATTAGTAGAGCCTTTTGTTTGGAGTCTTCTATCCGGACTATTTCCCCTCTATAACTTCTCACTTAAGAAGACAGAAGGCCCCGGAGAACAAGGCCGCAGGAATTCTAGCGAATGCACGTTTACGCCAAGGTAGCAACTCGAGAAAAAAACCTATTTTTAATAGCGTTAACGTGTGACTTTCAAGCCTTGTTGCAGTATTTGTACAATTTTTTAAATTATTTTTCATATTTCGATACAAAAACACAAGCGTGCAAAACAGTTTGCTGGGCCAACATGAGCCCTTTATTTAGGGAGCGGTGAGAGTGTGCGGTAATTGATCAGTAAACAGCTATATCTGAAACGTTACCATAAACGTGTAATACTGGCGTTTCGGTTAAGACGGAAACAAAAGCAGTCACCTTCAGAGATACGCTGCATTGCATCAATACTCTGCTCCTGTTGAAAGCAGTCACAGAGAAGAACTTCATTATAATTAGGAAAATAAGAAAACGCACAATACTTTAAATAATTTGATTTACGTGACTAGCAAACAGCGGAACCTTAATCCCACAGAAAAACGTCACTATCAAGTAATTTAAAAAATCAGTCACAATCGTGAAAACAAGTCTAGACGTTAACAAACTAGCACTTTGAAATTTCAAACTTTGAAGTAACCACGTAGGTTACCTAACCGACTAAATGAACCAAAATAAGTATTTAAAAAACTCGACACAACCTACTGACGTTAAGAAACGGGCCGAAATGCTTCACAATAATATTAATCATGTATCCATGATGCATGTATTAAGATTGTAAGAACCTTGCCTTCTCATCGAAGAGTACTTTCAGCGTATATCAAAATGATCTCGGAACTTTTTCATTTCAAACGGGGAATCACAAGGCTGCACAATTAACAAAAACTATCCACTAAAAAGGTTCTCATATAAAAAATATGATAAAAAAATTTAACGACTTCTCATCCAATTTTGTTTTAACACAACACCTTAATAATTGTTTACATTGAGAAAAGGGTGCTCATATCAAAAAGTTTTAAAGTAAAATTTTCAAGCAGTTACCTCACCTGCATTCTTAGGGACGTAAACCAAACTGCAAACCTTTCCACTGAAACTGTGTCCCTTTTAGCGAGGGTCTTTTTCCTGCAAATTCGTGCTTGCTCATCTTGCAAATTGGACTCTGTCCAGAAGTGAAGCAATTCTTCTTCTTTACGATCCTTACAGTAATACTTGCCTGATTCTTGCTGACAACAAACTGAGCAGATTACACTATACTCGTATTGAATGGTATTCAACCAAAAACACTCTTCACGCAAGCTTTGAAGAATTGCTCCCAGTTGCTCTAACACAATATCACAGACGGACATATCCGACTGGTCATTTGAAGTATCTGGATCTCTGTAAACAACAACCTGGAGAGAAGAGGAATGACAACGGAGTATGACTGAGTAGCCTTCCGGGCGAATAGGAAACCTTGCGAAGTTTTGGTACATATCTTCGTACAATGGTGTGAATTCTTGATGGATGCACCAATTAAGAAACTTCACAACAAGTCGTTGGAAAAATCCAAGAGGCATCTGAACATATTCAATTTCTGAACCAGATGGGCGTCTAAATCGTACAAAAAGAGGACAAATGGGAGCATCTGCAAGAAGCTCATTTGCATCATCTTCTGAAAGAGACATCAACATGGATGGCACGAGATATAGTTGTTTCTCCTTGTCTTGGGAAGGCAAGTGACACAATAGGCTAAATTTCTCCATGATAGCAATAAGACTCTCTTTAGTTTTATTGTTAACGAGGGAGCCCCATACAATCTCTATAAGTTTACCATTCAGGATACCATCGTTCTCAAGCTCTTCCCACAGTTCTTCATACTGCTCTTCATCTGATACAGGCTCATAGGGTTTAACGGTGATCACTTTCCTGAACAAATCAATCAACCACTGGGGGTCTAAGATTACTATGTCTTTCAGCTCTTGCGTCTCATGAAAATGTATCAAAATTCTCTGGTCGTGTAAGAAAATTAACGACGTCTCAAATTGTTGATCCTCATAAATTCCACATTCTTCACTTGCAACTTTTCTTGTCTCATCAAGAGAGATGAAAGGTTGACCTTTCTTGACTTTGTCTTTGAGTGCCTCTTCAAAAAGCAACCACTTGAGTGGGATGGGCTTTTGCATGTGTGACAGCTGCTTTGCAAGTGCAAGAAGTTCTCCCTTTAATTCACCGACCCCTTCGCACTCATCTGCACTGCCAGATTTCGTGTTGTCTACCACAAAGAACTTTTTGTACAAATGTTTACTGTAAAACTTGTGTCGCAAAGAGCCATATATTTTGCTTGCTGTCGTTTTGGCTGTCACTCTTGATCCAACAAGATCAGAGTGAGTGCACGTTAAGATAATTGGGGGAAGCTTCTCTGGTAAATTTCCAGAGCTTGTGGACTTGGAGTGCCCCGTAGTTTGGCTTTCCAAAGCAGCGACTGAGGACATCCAACAGCGAAGATAATCTTTATTGGTTTTTCCGCAGTCGCTGTCCACCCTGGGCCCAAAAACACCTTGCCTTTCAATGGAATCGGCTTTGCCACCTGGATCTTTGGTAAGATCGTACACTAAAAGATAAATTGCTTTTCCAGTGAGAAATATTGGGTGGGTGGCGTAGTAAACTGATTGACCCCCAAAATCCCAGAGAGTGAAATAAATTCTACTATCATCTTCTATATTGGATTGATTAACTATTTTCTCAAAACAAGCTGCCGTTTGTATTGGGACTTCAAAACGTTTTCTGTCGCTTGATTCTTTATTAGTCTCAAACAGCTTTTCTGGCTGGTCTTCACTCGGACCAGCGACGTTCTCTTCCGCTAGTGCGAGAATGCCTTTTTTAGCATCAGATTCTTCTAGTTTTGAACTGTTAGAAGAAACAAGGTTTCTTTCACTCATTTCTAATGATGCATCTTTCTTTGAGATTTCCTTAAATTCGTCTAACATGGGTTTTGCTATTCTCTTACGGAAAGAAACTTCAGAATCAACATCCTGCTCCTCTTCTGTTTCCTCTGAACTCATAATCTCATTTGTCACACTGAAGTAAGAGGGATCACGTTCGATTCCATCAGTGCTCGGCTCTTTTTCATCGAACTTTTGTTTTTTCAAAGACTTCTTCAAACTTGTTTTTCCAGATCGCGCTTGTCCAATGAGCATAACTGGCAACCTCATGACACGAGTCTCTCCCTCCTCTAGAGCCTTGTTGTAGGCAGCTACGTGCAAGGGTCCTCTAGCAATAATTTCTGGGGGAACTAAGAAAAAAAGGTGAAAACATGTTTTTATAATGTTTTTTTTACAAAGCGTATAAAGTGCTTGTGTAATTGGAATCATAAAATAATGCACATTGTATTGAGGCGGTTGCAACGGCAAGCTGTTCGCAGTTAGACGGGGATGATACTTTTGATAATCACGAGGCATGTTCGGAGCATAGCCAGTTACAAGTCAGAGAATTTTATCAAACTATGGTTGAAATAAAAGAGGTCTTCGATGCGATAATCAATGTGACGTTTGCTTGACCTAATGTAGGGTGCCTCAAATTACTGCTTAATTTCTATCCAATAAATGGGATATCAGATACTCCGACGAATACCAAGGTAAATGCGTAGATTCAGATTGTTATAAATATCATCAAGAATAAGCATAACACTAACGTAAGTTAATTTTTCTAATCAATTATCTACAAACAAAGAAGGAAGCAACGAATTGTTGAAAGAAAGGATGAATCGAATTCAAAGTTTTCAGCTTATCAGGTGAATTATTTCTAGCTCTGTATGTTCTACACATTTTCACATTTTTTCATAACTCCTATTTTTAGAGGGTTAGAAGTCATTAGAGATTAAACTTGATAAAAAGTTAAATGAAATATAAATTGATATTTTTAAAAAATAAAAAGAGAAATAAAACTACCGTAAATATTAAGAAAAGTTTAAAAACAAGGGAACGTTAGAAACAAGTACAGTTAAAATAAAACAAACCCTAAATAAATAGGAAATTTGAAAAAATCGGAGGACAATGAAAACATAAAAGATTAAGAAAAGTTATAACAAAGGATAACCAAAACCTCTATGGCCCTTTTAGGCCACCATAGTGATTTAGAAATCAGCCCTTAGATATTGTTAGTTTAACAGGTTGAGTTTTGTCTTTACGGTTTTAATACCCGAACGTCTAGAGTAATTGAACTGACCATTGTAAACGACAGCTAGTACTGATGGTAATCTTACGTCTTACAATGCTTGCTTCAATTACAAAAGTTTAAAATCTATAAGCTTCTTGTTAAAAGCCTCTCAATATGTACTCATTAGTCGAAATTTACATTCGCTGTTGTGCTGAAAAAACAAACAAACAAACAAAACAGGCGTAATGCGGAAGATATGGTTAATACGGGGATCGAGAAATTTTTAAGTACATTTGGAAACTACTTAGAGGGTACCAAAATGTATACAGTAAATAAAAAAAATACTTAACATACGAAAAAAAAGGAGATCTTGGCAGGTAAGCAATGCAAAGTGTGCACGGTGGCGAGTTGAAGCACTCCGTGAGGAAATGAAGACCCACCTGGATTTTCTTTGAGGTCGTCGAAGAATCTCTTAGCTACGAGGCCAGCTAGCTGTGATTTGTCGCTTCCAGGATCCAAAATGTTGTCACTGGAATTAATTAGTTCCCTCAGCTGTTGGACTTCTTGTTTGAGATTATCAACTTCTTTGAGGACCTTTGCTAAATCGTTTGTTGGAAACGTTTTCTGACATCTAAGGTCTTGAATTTTTGCAGTGGGAAGACCAAGTACTTGAAACGCAACTTGAACTTTGCTAATAGCATTCTGAAAATCGATCGCAGAGAGACGACCTTGAGGTACGTGAGCGAATTCTTCATTTTTGAAATTTCGTAAATCATCTACACATCTTCTGACTATTGCACTAAGACGTGGCCCGACGCAATCAGAGAAAAGGATGGCGTAAAATAGCAT